CCCCAAAACCCCAAAACCCCAAAACCCCTTTAATTGAACTAAATTAACTTAAAATTTAAATTAGGTAATTGTAAGGAATGATTAATTAATTTTTGAAATATTATCATTATAAAATGACAGATAGAACACAGAGCAGCTATAGCCGAGTAAGGAAGTCCAACCTTAATGAAGATAATTTTTAAATGGGCGATGAACGTGGGGGATCAACAAGTATAATAATGAACTCAGGAGATGGAATAATGGCTCAATACCTTTAAAATGCTAATCCATATCAAAATAATACCACTGAATAGAATCAAATTTAGCTAGAGGAATATTAAAATGAGTATGAGCATTAATAAGAAAACCCTTTTTTAGAATACAATAATGAAAACTATGGCAATCTTGATGTTGAAAATCTTGAAATAAGCTTTGAAGATGAAGTATATAATGCTCTAGGAAAGTCCTAAAAACTTAGAAAAAGTGATTAATTTTCAGACAGGCCCTTGTCGAATTTAGATGATCCCATGATAGGTATTGACATTGATGAAGGACATAAAAACTCTGAATTTAATAATATCACGCCTCTAAGAGAAACAGTAAAACTATCAGAACATAATAAATTTACTAATTCAGCATTCAAAGGAATAACTTAAACTTTAAATTTTCATGATCCATCTCCAAAGCTCGATTTAGGAATTGAAGATAACCCCGATACTCACGCTAATCTAAACAATAATTATTTTGATCCTGCATATTAGCTGGATCAGGATGAGATTGATAAGATTTTGCAGTAGAATAATGTGAGCCCATTGAGAAATGCTGAAATTGAATAAGAATAAAAGGATGGCTAAAAGTTAAATCTGGTATCTGATTTCAACTTTGATTTTGTAGATGATGATAATGTAGGAGAAGGTTAGGTATTTGAAGAAGGAACAGGAGAAATGAATTTTAAAGATGAATATGGAGTTGATCTTGTTATTGCAGAAGATGAATTGTTTCAAAATTTGGAAAAAAGAAGATAAATTACACTAGAAAATTAAATGGAAACCGCTTAAATGAATGCCCAATCAAATAGAGTTGGAAATAAGAAGCAAACAAGCAGTGCACTTGGCCGTTATGAAGGGAATAATAAAGAGAAGAAATCTCTTTTATCTTCCTCTAAGAAAAGCAAATTATCCAGATTAAAGCAAAAGAATAAGTTATCTTTCAATGATTATTATTAACTAAATAATAAGACAGCAACCAACAGAAATATCATTACTAAGCAAAATAGTGTTATATCAAGTGGAGATTCTAATAGATCTGATTATAAATAACAGTCTTATACTGTAATGGAAACAAAATCGTCAAATATGAAGTTAGATTTGCTTAAAAAGAAGATGAATTCTTTGAAAAACGATAAAAAGTCTAATTCAATTATTTCTCAGAGTACAAAGGCCTAAGATAATGATAGCAAAAAATTTAAATTTAAAAGACTTGAACTTCCTGATGATAATGAAGATTCTATTTCGGGTGATGATAAAATCCACAAGCAAATTCCTACTGAGGGAAGTCAAAAGGATAATATAGTACTTCATCATTATATCCCCAAATTTAATGAGATTTAATCCAAGACTTAACTTGATGGAAAGCCCTCTCCTTATCAGCCTAGTAAAAAGCAACCAGAAAATAATAAAGAAGGAAGGAATCACAAGAAAATAAACGTACAATCTTTTGATTCACACATTTCTAGTAATAACTAGCAATCACATAATCACAATTTCAAAAAGTAATCAAAAGAACCTAAGACTGCAAAACATTATTTTTCAAATAATGTCACCCAAGATTTAATAAAAGAATTTAAAACATACTAAACCAAAAGTAAAGATATGATATCAAATCAATAATAATTAGCTCCAACAACATCCCTAAAGTCTAATCCATATGACAAATATAAATAAAAGATAGTCATTGAGTCTAAGTTGTAAAATGCCCCAATAATTGATATAGATTAAGCCGAGCAAATTAAGTTTTAGAAATCAACAGCCAAATATGGTTCTAATATACGTATTAATGAAAATCCAAGTAAAATGAAAGTATTCCCATAGCATTCTTAATTTTAGATACATTAAAAAGGGACAATAAAATCTATCAAAGTAATGGAAAAGCAAACATTAGACACATCCAAAGATGATGCTAAATTTATAAAAGAAATGTCAAAAATGGAGAATAAAGAGAAACAGCTTAAAACCTAAATTGATAAGATACATAATCAAATTGAAAAGAGGAAAAAGGATGAGGAAGCATAATAAATTAAAGTATAGTGCTTATATCAATAAAAGCTAGATGATATTAGAAAAAATGAGAAAAAAACTAGCTTTAATGGTAGCAATCTTAGTTAGGCTATAAATTAAAGCCAAATAAAAGACATGAAATATGAGAATGCCACAAGACCTAAGATAAGTTCTACAAAATCAACAATAGAGCACAATAAAATTGAAAGAGATAATTCAAATAAGACAGACAAGACATCTGTAAATTAAGTAAAATTGAAAAAAGATCAATCACCTGATATGAAGCCAGGCTACTAGCAACTAAATCGAGTCAACTATGCTAAAATTGGAATAAATCAAACTCCAAAGGCCAGTTTTTTATCTGCCAAGCTTAATAACTAAGAAAGGCCTTCTAAGATATCAAGATAAGGTAACATGCAAGATGCTTTTGAGCCAGAATTGAAGGATCACAAAAGTCCAGGATACATAGACAAAAATGGAGATCCATTTACCAATATCCAAGCAATAAATAAGCAAAATGTCAAAAACCAAAAATTAGAAAATAAAGGGACTAATTTTGTCATAAATCCCAATCCAACAAATTTTAATGGTACTGATGAAGACGAAGGGTCCTTGGTTAGAAATGAAGTTTGTGATAAAAGTCACAAGAAATTAAATAAAAATATATAAGCCTTGAGGGATCAGCTGAATGAGAATTCAGTGAAAAAGACTGAATTATCTATTGAAAGAAATCCTTAGATGTACAAGCATGATTCTCAAGATGATGCAAAAAATGAGAATATGAATCAATCTATCATAAGTCAGAAGAAATTTATTTATAGGCCACTAACTGCTAGTCTTAGGCCAAACAACAAACAAGATGAGAGTTTTTAATCTAATTACCCTGAACTGGGAGAATAGTAATAAATAATGAATGAATAGTCTGTAAATTCTAGTAGGTTAGATCTCAAAATGGTTGCCAAGAGTTCGTCAAATAGATATACTAGAGAAGATATGATGAGGTTAAAGTAGAGAGTTGAAACTGTATCTCCAACTAAAATTTCAGCTTAGAATAGTCTCTAACCACAAAATCATCTTGAGATAATTTAGGAAAATTCATTTATAAATCCTCAAAACTTAAGAGATAAGGATATCAAGAGAGTTTCCTTCAAAGATTCTTCAAAAGAGTTAGCAAGTCAAAATACTCTTAAATCAACCAAAGAAATCAGATAAGATCCTATAGTTAACCACAACTTTAAGTACAACAAGGATGTGGCCGAGATGCATTTAAGCAATCCTAACATAGTCAATAGAAAAAGCTTTGAACAAACATTCAATCCAAAAAAAGATGGTAAAGCTGATGAGGAAGGAAAATAAAACTAATAGAAATAGTAAGTAAGAGCATAATCTGTTCTTCAAGGCTATAAAGACTAAATTGTAAGCAGAAAGAATAAATAGCATCTCTAGGATAGGACTATAGCTGTGTAGTCTGAGCAATAGTTGATTGATGAATCCAAAAGAAAGCAGTATATGAGGTCAATGATAAACACTGACTCAAATAACTTTAAAACATCTATCTTGAAAAATGCGACGATTGAGCCAGTGAGAATAGAAAAAATAGACAAAAACATTCAAAACTAAAAAATAAACAACTATACCCTAAATGAAACGCTGAAGGTGAAAATCAATTAAGAGGAAAGCAAAAGAGAGCCTAGAGGTGCTTAAGATCCAAACTAGACAATAAATTCTAGAGATAACAAGTCTCTCGACAAATCTGGCATAGACTTTTTGACAGAGGCAAGAGATTTTACCAACATTATTTCCAATCTTAAAAATTTGTTATAAAAGGGAAAATTGAGTTCAAATAGCAATAAAAGCTTTTAAACTCTTGAGCAGAGGCCATCTCACGTTCAATCAGTTAATTAATCTTATGCTACTAATTCAGCAGGGCTTCATCACAAGAATAATATCTCAATGAGCTAGATAAATCACTAAACTCTTGAACATAACCACTTCAATCAACCTAGGATAAGCTTATCTTCTTAAGGTCACTATGGAAAAGATCTTGCAGTTATTCATGAGGTAGTCTAACCTTATTATAGCAACAAAAACCAAATAAGCTGTGATATATCGGTCGTGTCAAATCAGGTAAGGCCTGGAAGTAAATTAGAGGAGAGAAGAAAAAGAGACTTTGACATCAAACTCTAAAGAGATATTAAAGCACTTGAGAACATTTTAACGAGAAAGCATTAGCTTTAGAGGTTGGCAAGTGAAGTATCTAATGAAAGAACTAGCCTTAATCAATCTACCATTGACGGTGGAGTTCGGCCTTCTTCTAGATCATCGTCTGTTTAGAGGCCAAGCACTAAATTGATGACAGGATAAGTCACTTTTGGAAACAGCATGATAAAAAATAGCAATCAAACACCACGTGGCTAGTCTTTCAATATCTCTAGAAAAAGCACATAAAATAACTTTATAGCAGCCCAGCCTACATCTGAAAATATGGGAACACTGCTATAGAGCATTAAAGAAGCTGAAGAATAACTTGAATTGCTTAAAGGAGAGAGCAATTAAATTGAGTAATAGATTGGTGACCTTAGAAGACTGAGATCTCCACCTAAGTGAGTTGAGTAGAAATTATAGATAAATGGACAAACAAGGAAACAAAGCCTAATAATTTAAAGATCATTAAATTTATACTTATTACTTAACTTAACTATGAATTAATCCACTTTTATGGGGTTTTGGGGTTTTGGGGTTTTGGGG